CTGTCCTCTCTGCTCCTCAAAACAGCACTCGCCCCATACCACCTACAGCCTCAGGCTGCTCATAGTTTTTCTGTGCCCCAGAGAGCCTGCCCCTAGTTTGCATTCCATAATCCCTTGGCCATAACAGGCACCCATCCAATAGCTGCAGGCAGTCATATATGTTTCTGGAAGTGACTGCATGTCCCTGCAAACATCTGCCAGCTTCACTGTCCTAATTCAGTCCTTTCTTACAACCTTCTTTCAATGTGAGCCCTTACAAATCAACAGTGGTTAAGCTGTTCTCATGGGGACACCACCACCTCATGCAGACTAATATTGTCTCATTGTTTTCTACAGCTCCCCTATCTGTATCCAATGGTTGTTTCGGCTTTTATACATCTGTGGTAAAGCTCTTTGTGACAAGTGTTGCCACCTTGTTATGTGTGTAAAAAATCTTTCCCCAAGCATAGGTATTTTCTGGTTTGGGCCCTGGGCTTGTTCTCAATGGGACTTGGACACAATCCCACAGGAAAGGAGGACATACAGGAACAGAGGGAGGGAAAAAACAGGTATAAGAGGCAAGGACAGAGAATGGGAAATGTCATTGGGAAAATAAGGCAAAGAGGAGAATCCTCATCTAGGCTAGGGACAGACATTTGTTTGGGAAGCACCACCAAAGAGGATTACTCAGCACTCGCCCACACCCATAGGGAGCAGTCCAGAAAAACCAAGGCACAGACCGAACTCAGGGCAGCTTTGGGGATCAAGGACAACAAAAAGTCCTTCTTCAGATATGTGGGAAGTTGAAAATGGAACAAAGATAGCATTGGGCCCCTGCGGGATCAAATGGGGCAGATGACATCTGACACCCAAGAAAAGGCCAGTCTCCTAAATGACTTTTTCGCATTGGTTTTTCACCCTCCCAAGGGGATCACACTGTCAGAAAGGACACAAACTAGCCTGGGAGTGGGTGGCAGACCCAAAATTGAGGTGGATCAGGTGAAGGAACACTTTGAGAATCTGGACATTCACAAGTATGCGGGCTCAGACGGATTGCACCCGAGAGTCTTGAAGGAGCTGGCAGACAACATTGCATCCCCCTTGGCAAAGATATTTGAAAATTCATGGCACTCAGGTTAGGTCCCAGAAGACTGGAAAAGGGCCAACGTGATCCCTATCTTTAAGAAAGGGAGGAGGGATGACCCAGGGAATTATAGACCAATCAGTCTGACATCCATCCCTGGAAAAATTCTAGAGAAAATTGTCAAGGGATCCATCAACACCAGACTAACAGAAGGCAAGCATCTGAATGCCAGCCAACATGGCTTTGTGGCTGGCAGGTCTTGCCTGACCAACCTCATCTCCTTCTATGACCAGGTAACATATACCCCGGACAAGGGAGATGACATGGATGTGGAGTGGGACGGGGCATGGGACAGACCCATGGCTGGGCCAAGGGGAGTGTGGGGGGGGGGCAGTTTCTGCCACTGCACGCACCCTGGGAGGGCACGGGAGGCATATGCCCCTGGATCTGCATGGGGTGGGGTGGGATGGGGTGGGCTGCCACTGTGGGCTGGGGCCAGGGCTGTGCTGGGCTCTTCCTGGCAGGGGCTGGGCCAGGCTGTGCTTGGGGCAGGTGGCGACAGTGCTGGGAGGGACTATGGCAAATTTTGGGGTGGCTGCAGCCCCCCATAGCCACCCTGCTAGCACTACTGCTGCCCACCCTGAGTGCAGCCTGGCCCAACCCCCACTGGGAAGAGCCGGTGCAGCCCCAGTCACAGCCTGCAATAGCAGCCCACCCTGTCCTGCACAGATCTGGGGGAACATGTCCCCCATGTCCTCCCAGGGTATGCACAGCAGCGGGAGCCACCCCCTCCTCCCCTTGCTCCCCAAGATGAGCCATGACTCCATCCCACACCCCACCCCACCCCACATCAGCTGGACAGCCCCAGCCCCACTCTCTCCCTCACCACAGGGGCCTCTATCACCCCCCTGCTCCTTCCCTTCCCCCACAACAGACTTACCAGCCAAACACTGCTCTTCAAGCTGCTGGGCTGCATATCGGAAATCAGATCGGTATCAGCCAATATGCTTCCTTAAAAATCGGCCCAAAACATCTCTGTCGGTGTACCCCTAGTAATTATAGCATATTCCAACAAAATGGCATATAGGAAGATTTGAAACTTGAAAAACCAGTACCTGTATCTGGTCAAGAGGCTCAGACTGATGTGTCAGAGCTTGTTAGGGGTTGGGCATTGTTTGGCACCCAGGTGTTTGTGGAAGAAGGCCAAGATCTGCTGCAGGCATCTACCTGTGCCTCAGAATGAGCCTCGACTCACCTGCTCAGATCACTGGGCCACCCACAAATGTATGAAATACAGATACATGCATTGAAAAGAAGGTGAGGGGAGGTTCAATGTAATGCCCCACTCCAAGATAACAGATTATCTCAAGCTTCCCTTCCTGTGAGTCTGAAAGTGGTTGGAGCCCTCGGTGACAAAGAATTCACTCTTCCAGGTTTGATTGCTCTTGCCAAAAGTGAACAAGAAGTGGCACTCATCTTTCTCCAGTGGGATCAGACTTTGGCAGTCAGACCCCTCTAGTTGATTATTTAGGACACTTGTAACATCTGCAGCCCCAGACTCATCAATCTTCACGTGCTTGAGATTGAAAACAGCAGTTTGAATGGTAGTACCCTTGTAGCTACCAATCCAAAAACATTTTTTTTAAACCAACAGTCTGCAAACTATTTACAGATAACCAAACTTTTTTTAAGGACAGATTTTTTACACTGTAACAGAGCTGGGCCCTGTTACTAGGGATATGGGGGTGTTTGAACAATTCCACACCCTGGGAGCACCTCCCCACACCCACCACAGACCTGGAAGGCTCATCAAAGGCTGATGATCCAGGTCCTGGGACACAATGAGTCTTAAAGCAAGGGAGTTAACACAGGTGTGGTGAATGTGGATGAGCTAGCCACCTGGACCAGCAGGTGGGGAAAATAAAAGATGCTGAAAGGAGCCTTAGAGGTAGCTGTACTGGTAGTGAGGCTGTCTGGAGCCAAGTAGTTACTGGGAGGGGCTGAGCACTGTCTGTCTGTCTGTCTGAGCCTGCAGGCTCTGCAAAGCCTCTGAAAGATAAGAGGTGACCAGAAGGTGAAGTCTGGGAATAGCTCTTGCCTGTATTCCTGCAGGCTAAGTAAGTGATAGCTTATTTGTTTAACTTTGCTTGTTTTGATTCCTAACAAGTCCTGGGTGGCCTCTGGGTGTTATCTACCAGCTCTGCTGCTCCAGAAGTAAGGGCCCTGAACAGTGAGTCCTTAACCAAGGCCAGCAGCAAAAGTAAAAGTGTGGTCTGCCCATAGCAGCTTACTACTGTCTAGGATTTGTCAGAAATGTTTGTAACAAGGGCTGGATTCAAACTTGGGGCTTTAGCACCAATCAAAGTCCTACTTGACTACAGCAGTGGTTTTACATTGTGCTGCTTCCACCTCAGTGGCCCTCTACTCCCTCCCCTCCCACCACCTTGATTTCCCCCTGACTGCACCATGCACTCTGCTGTCCCCACCCCACAACCTTACCCCTGTTGGTTCTAACTCCCATCCCAGGCTGGACCCCCCCAACCTTGCCATACTCAGTTTGAGTACCACCTCCCTTCTCCTGGCCCCATAGCTTTTTCTTAGCTGTACTGCCTCCCTCCCTGTCTCACTTGGTATCTCAGATTGCCTAGGGCTGCATAGTCTTGTCTACCTTTTGAGGCAAGTAGCCCTTCCTGGAAGGTAACAGCTGGGATACAGTGATAGCATGTGGCTGGTGGGGAGGGGGCTACAGAGATTCCCATGGATGACAAAGCCCTGGTGATGATAGCTTGCTGCAGGGTGCTGAACTGCACTCCTATTCAGACACCAGATAAAGTAGTGCTATCTGTCCCTCAGCACTTGCATCCAGCTTCTCTTCAATGATGAGTCTTCAACCAAGGTTACTTTCTCTTAAGTTTGTAAATTTAAAAATGAGATGTCTGTAATAATTAAAAAAAAAAAAATTCAGACAGGTGTTTTTAGCCTTATTTTATGGACTCTGCAAATTTATGGACATTTGGCAACCCTGGTAGTAAAGCACTGCAACCCCATTTGCAAGCCAGACAGCTATTGATGGTGAATGTGGCAGTAACTTCCTTTAAGAGGGAAGTCCTAGACATACAGGGCTCATCGAGACAAGCATGCATGTATCGTATGTGGTGTCGCAAACTGCATGTACAATGTGCAGGGGTGTAGGTTGTAGCTGTGTTGGTCTAAGGACATAGGCAGACAAGGTTCCTTGGGTGAATTTGATATCTCGAAACCTTGCTTAATAACTATTCTCCAACTATTTGGGTTGGTCTAATAAAGGATATCAAATTCACCCCAGGAACCTTGTCTGCCTATGTACAATGTACAGTCATTCACTGCGCTGCCAGTTTGCAAGATAGCAGGGTTTTTTGACACCAGGAGATCCTGGTGTCAAAAAACCCAGCACCTGAAAAAAGCAGAGTGGCACATGTGCTGTCTGAAACTGGAGTCCGATTGGCTGGAGCCAGGCCAGGCTCCATGCATCAGATTGCCCCCACTGGAGCCCCAGAAGGCCCCCAGGACTCCAGGTAAGGCTGCTGGGGCCAACCCAGGTGCTGGCCTCAGCCTCAGCCTCCCCTACCCAACCCAGGGGAACTTGCCATGTCCCAGAGCATGTATGCATGAGCATTCCCTGGGTATGTGCTATTGCTATTTGTCCCTGGAGAAATGCATGTGTATGGTTGTCTGGATGCACCCATTTGGTCACCCTTTTTAGACATTCCAAGAGACTTAGTTCCTGGTTCTTGAAACTTTCTTTCCTGGGTGTGAGAGGGCAGGGGATGTTGCTCTCAAAGTCATCTAGGGGGGACTTGCCAGCCATGACTTATGATGGGAGAAAAATAGAATTAATACCTCCCTGATGAACTACCCAATAAAACGCAGTTAGATTTTAGTCAGTTACAAAGGCTCCCTTTATTAAATAAATTCCCTAGGATACAGAATAAATTTCCAAGGATGTACAGAAATAGGTACCTGCCTCTAAGTGGCACACCACTTCTGCATCCCAGAGCTGGCTTCTGAACCCTGCTCTTGGATCCTCCATGATTCTTGCTCCCATTCCCCTGTTGGCATCCCAGCAAACATGCTTTCTCCTCAAGTAAGTGAGGGTGTCTTTCTCACTTTCCTTGGTGCCAAGGAGCTGGGGAAGCGGGGGGAGGAAATCTGGCAGCATCTTGCTTACCTGTCGGTGTTTCACTTGCCCGACTAGACTTCTCCTGAGTGGTTGCGGCTCATTGTGCTGCCTGCTGCTCCACACCGCCTCTTCCCTCCTTGCCCCTGGGGGGCAACTACTAGTTCTGAGAGGTTTCCTTTTATCCTCTCCGCTCCGCCCGGCCCCCCCAACAGGTTTGTCCATGAAAGTTGGGCATTTGCCCATGAAAACCAATGTAATTAATTGCTGGTGTCAGCTGTTCCTCAGCTGCGCCACCAGCATATTCCACGCTTGTCCCATTCTTGACCCCGTGGGGTTACTCTAGGTCATTCCAGTAACAGGGTTGCAGTGTTAACACTGGGGTTGCCCATGTTTTCCTTGTAATTCTGCCATGCATGTAATGTCTCAAGCTAGCTCTGTATAGTCAAAAGCAAGGCAAGTTACCCAAAGATGTTGCCCCAGGATTCCTTTTACCAGAGGCCCCCAAGGATTGACATGGCCCCTTGTCCAATTTAGTATCAAGTGAACTTTATTAGTAACCCCTAGGCTTATTACAAGTATACTTCTGCCTGATAGGACCTGGCAAGTGGTTCCTTGGATGTTACAGCAGTGACCTTCGTGGTACCAGCCTCAGATCCTCAGCTGGATGTGCGAGATGTTAGTTTCTGGATTCCCTGTTACTCAAAGCAAGAATTCCAAGGCTACTCCTGTCTCCCCCTGCTGGCAACACAAACACATACTCTCTTTGTTTGTCCACTACTTTTGTAACTTTCTCATTTCAAACTGTTCAATCCTCAAGTTTCTTACCTCATCTTTTTAGATAAGATACTCCAATCCTATTCTATTTTTGGTTTTCTTTCCTTCTAGGGAAACTACTGTACCTGGTTAGCCCACCATACCAATCACAGCACTCATTTTTCCCAGTGTCTTTAAGGCACTCTGTACAATTTAATTGCTTAGTTCTGGGAAGGTCTATGGTTATGCTAAGAGCCTGAGCAAAGCTCAGTTTGCCCATTACAAAGGGGCCCACAAAGAGTAAGAAAGATTGAAGCAGCATCTCTACATGTCCATGGGTAATTTGAATAAATAAAGGGAAGTAACCAGAGTACAATTGCTTGGTATTCACAAAATTCTGCTGAAGAAATAAGACAGTGTCTCGGACAAGAGATGTTTCTTCTGATTTCTTTAATAGAAATACATCTAACAAATCTGGCATGAGAGGTGTACACCTAAAATTCTTGCCACAAATGCAAAAAGCCACTGCAGTAACTTATACTGGTGGTAAATAATGGTTGTATAATCCAAGTCACGCTAAGACTTGAAACTCCAGGGGCCCCATCCTATTAGCCCAGTACATCACAGCTTACTGGGTATCAGGTATTCTTTGCCATTGAGGTGTTTGCTGAAGAAGGCTTGGATACGTTGCCAAGCATCCACCTGTGCCTCAGAATGAGCCTTGGGTTCACCTCCCCAGAACACCAGCCTGTTCACAAATGAATGCATTGTGGCCTCACACACTGGGAAGAAGGGGGGTTCAATGTAATGTCCTGCTCCAGAGTAGCAGATTATCTCAGGCTTCTTCCCATGCGCCTGCAGGAGTTTGGTGGCTTCAATGGCAAAGAATTCACTGTTCCAGATCTTATCATCCTTGCTAGCAATGAATAGAAAATGGCTCTTAGCCTTCTCCAGTGGGATCAAGCTTTGGCGGTCAGGCTCATTTAGTGGGTTGTTTAAAACATTTTTAACATCTGCAACCCTAGATTTGTAAATCTTCATGCGCTTGAAGTTGAAACCAACAGGTGGAATGCTGATATCCTTGTAGTGTAGCCAGGAAGCTGTATTTCCCAAACAGGCATTGATGGTGACAACTGCTGCAATGCCCTTTAAGAAGGAGGCCATAGACATGCACAAGTCACCTCCCTTGGACATTCCAAGCAACCCAATTCCTGGACCTTTCACCTGTATAGAAAAGAAAGGGAGATCAGAACTGCAGGATGATGAAAGGATGACCTTCCATAGCACCCTTCATTCCTAGGGACCCCCAAAGACTCATAGTTTGATAACTGCATCAGCTTTATAGGACTTCCATCACCCATGGACTACTGACACACCTGGAGGGGTTGGGCATAGGTTTTAATACTGCAAAGTCACAATATTACATCTACAGATTAATGCTAGCAATGCAGGGAAAACACACTACCCTTTAAAATCAACAACCTTTTCTGTTGTAGCTCTTTCCCCCCCATTATTTCCCACATCTCAGCATTGGCTCAGGCCAGCTCAGCATGGTCTAGAGGATAGAAATTATCATACCTTGCACCTAATTTAAACTGACTGAGGAGCCCCTTGCAGTTTATAACGTTCTTCACTAAATTCACAAGAAAGTAAACGGCTATATCCAGATTTAAAATAACTGGATCCCCATTGTTTTTCCTTTTAGTGAGTTAGCAGAAAGGAAGGGTATAAATACTGAATATTAATCCCGATAGAAACTTAACCAGCAATTGAAACTGAGGTGGCAGTAATTCAGTAATTCTAGGGGAAAAAACAAGAGAGATGCTGTTGATACTCCAATTCATCAGCATATGTTACAGCTTCCTCTATCCAAGGAGCAAGGCATTCAAAGTACTGGCAGCTCTCAAGTACAGAAGCTGATATGTTGTTTCGAGCTCTGGAGCTGCTTAATCAAACACTTATGTGAAATAAAATGTTCTTTTTGTTACACCAAGTATCACCAAAGCAACCTTTGTTAAACACAGGAGACTCGGATATAGTGTTCCACTTACAGTGAATTTTTCAGTAGCAAGATACCAAGCACATGCCTGTACAGGTCCACGTCATGTAAGAGCAAACCATCTATCCAGCAGAAATTAAAACAGCTTTCAGAGTGGATGCCTGTTCTTCTAAACATTCAATTAGTCAGACAAAATAAGGAACGTAGAAGTTTGAAATGGACGTGACAAACCACAGCTGCATGAATACCCCAAGGAAAATGTAGAACCATCTTTGCCACATTCTGGGAACATCAGCCAACAGCCTCCCCAGACAAATCCTGCCCACAGCAGCTTTGACCTCAGCCTATGTGGATACTCTGCAATAACCACAACAGTAAGATTAGTAGATTAGTGCACTAGAGTGCTTGTAGCCCAAGGCCAGATTACATTGATTTTAAATCTGCTTAAACTTCTTCCTACTCCATCCTGTCATTGGAAGGGGCCAACTTCTTCCCTAAGAACAGGTTAGCTTAATTTGCATGGAGGAAAAAGAAAGCGGCAGCCACTTTGAAAAAATGCACTTCTTCACCGAATTCCTTGTTGAACGCCTTTATCATTCAGCCTCTGCAGAAGGAGAAATATTATTATGATGAATGCCAAAACATGAACATTGATCCCCAAAACATTTGTTAAGCTATAGCCGCTGCACTAGATTTTGGTGAGTCTCATCCCCCTAGTAGGTCAGAAGGGTCTACACAATTCTGCTGCTTGGGTAATTTGGCACAAGGGAAAATGGGGGGAAGCCACTGTCGTGGACTTCCTTAAAACAATGGATCACAGAACCATCTCATGCTTAGGAAGTCTGCTGGTTAATTAATTATTTGCAACCAGTCTACAATAAGTAAGGCTAAAATCTCTTTTGGAAGATGGGACACACTTTCAGCAACAGTTTCCATTCCACCTTCCTAGAAAGAGATGGGAATTTAGTTAGGTTTATTCAGACGGGTGCAGGGGTCTGAAATTCACCCTCCAGAATTTGCTGTCACCCGAAAAGAAATGCTGAACCCAGCAGTCACAGAACAGTACTAGCATGGGGCTGCATCATATAAAACAGGTTTTGACAGAACTTATTTTGAGAATAGCAGCTGTGTGTCAAACACAGCTTTCCAACAGTCTCAAGATGAGAGCTCCTTGTGGTGGAGGAACACGAATGAATGAACTGACCTGAGGGTGTTGTAGCATGTAGTTTACAGCTTCCTCAAAATACTCCAGATGGAATTCTTTTGCATCTTTCTGGAGATCTTCATAGCCATAGTAAGCCAGAGCCAGGGCAGCAAATCCATGATTGGCTAGCAGGCATGCTCTGTGTTCTAGGAGCCCCCCTCCAAATCCATAAATTTCAATTATGCCAGGAAAGGGGCCACTGCCTTAAGAAAACAAGATAAAGGGTTTTGGTAGTTCAGAATTCTTCCTTTCTATTCCAATATTACAGACCTCTTGAAATCTGCAGGACTCAAGATTCTTAGGCTCTTTGTTACCTCTCAGCAAACAACAATGATGATGATGAAGCCAAGACAGAATACTAATCCTACCTCATCATCTGAATATGCAGATGACACAGACTTGAAGTGAAGAAAAATGGGCCTGGTACTGGAAGGAATCTCCTGGGTTGTCAAGTCTAGAGCCCAGAAAAGCCTGTCATACTTTCCCATTCAAACCAATCAAGCTCCATTTTAAAACTATCCACATTGCTTCTTTCTCTGCATTGTTCCTGTTAGAAGGCTGTTCTAGAAACTTGTACTTCTGGTGATCAGAATTTTTCTAGATTGTAGCCTCAGTTTGGACTCATAACATTTGTTCTTGTGCTATTGTTGTCCTTTTCCTTAAATAACAATTGTCATTTCCCTGTGTTTATCCCCCTAAATATATTTATAAAGGCCAATCATATCCCCCAATTACAATCACTTTACACAGGCCAAACTTTTCCAGCCACCTCTTGTATGTCTATCCACCCCTCCAGTATATCAGGTTGTGACCTTAAGTGCAGCTCCCCAGTTTTCCTCCTAGTTCTTCTCTATATCTGCATCGGTTTGTAAAAGTTTGTTTTGAACATGGCTGACCAGATTTGGACAGTTTTCAGATGAGGTCCTACCAGCCCCTTAAATATGGGACATTCCCCTCTTCCTAGCATAAATATCTTACCTGATATATCACTGAATCACATTTACCTTCTTCAAAGCCACTTCACATTGGCTTCTGCACACATTGATTTTTCTCCAATGTATAGCAAAAATTCTTTCTATTCTGTCCCACAGCGTGTGACCTGGCATTTTTTATTACTAAATTTCATTGCATTAATATTACTCCAGTCTTCAAGTTCATCCAGTTTCCCTGTAGACTAGTTCTGTTAGCATCCACTGATAAAGATTGCTGTATGTTAATTATAAATACAATGCTGCTTTTTAAACATGACTGGTCCCATGACCAATCCTTGGGGAATTCCAGCTACTGAAGAAACGGAATTTTTGCACACCACCCATTATTTAGTGTTATTTCCCCAATAAGCATCTACCCACCAATGTTTTTTGAATAAGTTATAAAATGCAGAAAATAACCAAACTCCATCCCAGACACAGATCTCTGTGTCCTTTACTCCTCCAGTGCCTGCATTTCTACTGGAGTCCATCTATCCCTGTAACAGAACCAGGGCTCCAGGGGCAGCCATGATGTCTCCTGGTAACTGTGTGGCTCCTGTCCTACTCCAACTCCAGCACCCTCCCTGGTCGTCTGCCTGCCATGCCATGCCTTGGTTAATTTTTGAAAGGTAGGCTGGCCAAGGATCCTAGAGCAAGCTCTATTCCATCTTGCTGCCAGTAGATTCCTCCTGAACCCAACTAGTCCCAATCTGGCCCTCATGCTACATGGGGTCTCCTGGCCCGTACATGACCCCAGGAAACCTACTGCCTTATGAGCTATTCATGGCCTCTGACGTCCTCTACAGCCATGCCTATGCTTTGCACATGTTACCAATTAATACTTAAGTGGGACACCTTGCCTTCAAGTCAATGTCATTTCAGGTCTCTATACCCTTGTCAGGGCCATACCCTGCCCAGCCTCTGCTCCTTTTCTCTAGCTGGGTCCCTTAGCCCAGGCCCACCCTATTGGACCAGGCCTTTGGACCTCAGCCCCTGTTTCCCACTATCAGGCTCTGGTTCTGCCCCTTCTGGGCTTTGGGCCCCTGGCCCTGGTATTTGCTCTCTCTGGCTTCTTGCTCCCTTGGGATGTGGGCCTTTGGTCCCAGGCAGACTCCAGCCCTCTCGTGCTCTCTGACGCTGATCTCCTCCCCTCCTAGTCACAATTCAGTCCACCAGTTTAAATTAAAACCAACAGATAAGCCCACTGGCCACAATTAAAACCATTCCCAGACTAGGTTGGAACAAACTCTAGGTCACTGGCTGTACAACAAAATTCCCACCCCCCTCTCCCCACACTGGGTCATTGTTCCCTGCCTGCTATAAGCTCCTTACTTGCAGCTCCCCAGGGCAGCTCAGGTAGCAGCCAGTCACCCTCCTGCAGCCATTCTGCTCATGCTTATTTGCCACTTCAGAAGTACAAGGGTGAAAGGCCCACCACGTGAAACTAGAAGCTCCCCTCAGAAAGGAAGGCTACTGGGAAAGTGGCAACTAATTACTTGGTACAAATGATAACCAACAGGGACAGGAGTAGAGGTAAGAGGTTAGTAACTAGTGTAACAAGGGGAGACACCAAGCAGAGGCTGCAGTCCACCCCCGGTAGTCCCCCTCCCAGTGCCAACCCCACCTGCCCCAAGCACAGCCTGGCCCAGCCCCTGCCAGGAAGAGCCTGGCACCACCCCAGCCCCAGTTCACAACGGCAGCCCCCCATCCCACTCAGATCTGGGGGCACATGCCCCTGGCCCCGTGCCCTCCTGGGGTGTGTGCAACAGTGGGAGCCAGCCCTCCCCTCCGCACACCCCCTGGACAAGCTGTGGCTCAGTCCCGCACCCCACCCTGCCCTGGCTGGGCAGTGACTGTCCCAAGCCCTGCTCCCTCCCTCACGGCAGGGGCCTTGATCTGCCCCCTCACACCCCTTCCCTTCCCCTCTCCATCCATCACAACAGACTTACCAGCCACATGCAGTTCTCCACGCTGTATTGGAAATCGGACTGGTATCGGCCAATAGCCAATTTTTAAGGACACATATTGGTATTGGCCTCAAAAATCTCTATTGGTGCACCCCTAAAATTTATAGTGGCGTTTTTCATTTTAATTGTGGAAAGATGCGGATTTTGGGGTTTTAAAACAAATCAGAGAATTTACGATTTTTAAACATCTAAAATCAGGATCCCTGGTACCATGAACAACACGTGCTCCTGGCGGCTGGGGGGGGCACAGCGGTGGTGGGAACACGGCGGTGGTAAGCAGGGGAGCTCCCACAGATGCTGCCAGTGCTGTTGGTGGCAGGGGGAGGGGGTGGCGAGCGCTGACCAAGGGTTGGCGACCACCCACAGCCGCTCACGGCAGCATCAGCAGCGACCAGCGGGTGCCACCAGTGGTGTCAGAAGTGGGGCAGCGAGCGGTGACCGCCTGCAGGCACTGCCGGCAGTGCCTTTTTGTAGGGGGTGCGCTGCCATGCTCAGTTAGTGCATGTACACCCACGTGCACCCCTTACGTGTCACCCCTGCCTGGTACTAATGCAGCCCAGTATGCCCTTAGCCTTCTTGGCAACAAGGGCATACTGCTGGCTTGTATTCAGCTTATTGTCCATTGTAACCCCCAGGTCCTTTTCCATAGAGCTGCTGCCCAGACAGTCAGCCTCCAGCCTGTACTGGTACATGGGATTGTTCTGTCCTAAGTGCAGGGCTTTGCACTCGTCCTTGTTGAACCTCATGAGATTTCTTTTGGCCCAATCCTCCAATTTGTGTATATCTCTCTACAGTGGTGATGCATAGGGGGTGCATGGGGGTGCATGTGCACCCCCTGAGAGTGCTGGTGTACCCCCTGACCGGCCGCACCCCCTGCTTAAGCGATGGGAGCACCAGTGTCCCCCCTGCGAGTGCCGGCCAGGGAGTGGGAGTGCCAGATGTAGCGCCGTGGCCGCTTCTGGGAGTGCTGAGGCCACTTCCCGCTTGGTGAGTTTTGCTGCAGGGGGATGTGCTCCCCTGACTGAGATGGCACCAGTCTCCCATGTCTCTCTGAACCCTAACCTTACTACTACTACTATCTTACTACTACCTAACCCTACCCTTCAGCCTATCTACTAGTCCTCCCAGCTTGGTGTCATCTGCAAGGTTGCTGAGGACGCACTTCATCCCATCTTCCAAGTCGCTGATGAAGACACTGAACAAAACAAGCCCCAGGAACAAGGAGCAGTGAATAAGGGACCAACTTCAGCCTCGTTTGTCTGCACCCATTTGTAAGCAGCAGTCTCCATTTCTGTGTGCAAAAGACCAGCAACGCACAGAGAAGGACGCCTGAAGTTAAATCTGGGCGGACCCCGTGCGGACAGCCCGGCCTCGCACCAAGCCAGGCGCCTGCTGCTGCCAGGCAGCCCGGCAGAGCCTGGCTATGTAGAGCCCGCAGCTCACGGCCGAGCCCGTGAAGGGCGCTTGAAGCAAGTGCCCGACTCCGGCCCGGCTCGGGGACAGCGAGCTCAGAGGGACGGGACGGGACGGGACGGGACGGGACGGGAGGAGGGGGCGGGGACACTCACCGGGCGGCAGG